AAAACAGATACTTAAGATGAACAATATTTCACAAGTGTGTTGGGTTTGTTGGAAACAAACAATTTCGCTCTCAGAATAGATATATCAAATTACGTGTCTGCTGTTTGGATGTAATTAAGAGTGTTTGGAATATTAAAAACTAGGGCGAAAATATTCACATTGTTCGACTATAAAGTGTTTTTTTTATGTATCGTTCAGGGGCAAGTTGCAATTAGTATGGAATGAGTTTGATTTTTATAATTAAACATAAATTAATTACATTTTAATATTAAAAAACTAACTTACAATTTTTTTTAATAAGGGTACTTAGGCCAATTTGTAACAATTTATTTCTTAATAATATTTATTGAGTAAAGGGGTGGATTGGATTAACAATTTATTTCTTAACAATTTTTAGTAAGAAAGATGGTGGATTAACAATTTAATTCTTAATAATGAAATCTTATGGTTAATATTCTGATTTAGAAAAAATTATCCTTTTGAATTTCGTAAGGTTGATGACGTACGGGATAGATTGGGAAATGTATACGAACACGTGCATCAGAAGGTTGAAAGTGGAGCGGCACGTTACTTACAAGAATATGAGCAAAATAATATTTTATTTGATTATATATATTTTCTGAAATTACACTTTTATATTTATCCATCTCTTTTTATTTTATAAAAATATAATTTTTAAAACAATACAGTATAAAAAACTATTACTCTATTTGTAAGTGTCTTTCATTATTTTATTATTTTTATATCATATCCCACCACATTTCAAATTTTCAATTCTTCAGTTAACCATATATACTTTCCAAATTAACTATTTTCATCCCAAAAACGTTTTTTTTTTTTTTCAAACATTAGTGCTTCTCTTTTTTCAACGAGTCTTTCAGTTGGAACATTTTCAAAACGTCTAATCAATTAGAACATTTTCAAAAGCTTTTAATTCGAATAGCTGTCTTCTTTTGAATATATGCTCGTCTTCACCATTACTAGTTCTTTCCTTTTAGTTTGCTTTTTATCTTTTTTCTGATGTTATTGTTTATCAAGCGCATGGCCCAACATGTTGTGTTCTTGGTAGTTTCTTCTATTTTTTAAATCATTTAGTTGTGAAATGAATTTGGAATTGAATTCTTTGGTTCATGCAAAAAATGAAGTTAAATTTTATTATTGTCCCTAGTGATACCAAGAGTATATTTTTACGGAAATATAAATCATTAAAGAATGTTACTTTGACCTCATTGTGCGAGGATATCAATTATCAATCAAGTTATGTTAAACTTCATTGCTTTATTTATTGTGAAATAACTGAACTTGCATTAGTTTGTGGCTTCTATGTTGTGTTTTTGGGATTTGTGGACTGTTGTTTAGTTTCTTTTCTGCTCTTTTTCCCTGTTAGGTAGTAATTGGTGGGGTCTATCCCTATTTCCACTTAATTGCATGCTTGAAGGTAAGTTTGGTGTCAAGCAAAACAACTTCTCTCAAAATTCATAATGTTGATTTTTCAATTTTAAACGTCCTGATAAAACATTCATTATTCACATCTCGATCCAATTACACTAGGAATACCAACAAAAATGACAATTCTCGCATATGTCCTGTAGATGAGCCGAGCCAGGCTCGTTTAATTTAACAGCACTTTTATTCATTCATGCATTACTCTATTAAGACAACATCAAGTTCATTTTCATAACAAAACATGTTCGTCTATGGTAATATGAGATTAAAACATCAGTCATCAGTGTATCAGGTAAGTAAAACTTTAAAAGCACCAAATGAAACTGTCATTGGATCTTTATCCAAAGTACATCAGTTTTACATGCTAATATACAAAGTAAATTTATTACCTTGGAGTTTAGGATTCACATATATGATCTCATTCGAGGTCTCACTAAGGACTGGCCACCATCGACGAAAATAGTTGTCCCTGTCATGTATTTTGAGCCGTCGCTTATCAAATATATAACAGTCGAGGCCAAATCATTTTCAACATCAAGCCACCTGTGCAAAGGTGCGGCTTCGTGTACCAACTTTTGGGCCCGCTCAGTCCCCACAAACAAGGGGAACTCGTCATGAAGATGCAAACCTCGAGCTATTGCATTAACCCTTATCTGGTATTTACCAATTTCCATGGCCGATGTCTGTCAAAAACATGTATAAGAATGTAAATTATGGATCAAAATTTCATTTTCATGGATGGAAGGATCTGAAGGGAAGAAGTTAGTTTGATTCAAAATTCGAAATCCAAAATCCCATGTTTTGAACTATTTTCTAATCCCCCACACAGAAAAGTCATTTGGAATCATACCTCAAAATCATTTTTCCTTAAGGTTTAGTCCACTTTATTCAGTTTATATTTGCAAATTGCAAATAGTGATGTTTTTTAAAACCTTTAAAAAGGCATTTTATAATTCTGAAAAGACACTTGTACTTCTCTTTTCCTTTAATTTCTTGGTA